TCTTGCCATCCAACTCCTGAACTTGGTTTTAAAGTGAGGCGAGGCAACACACGAGGCCAGTTAGTGAAGATTTTTTTATTTCCTTAAATTAAATTACATAGAATAAACAAAGTTGTTCTCGAATCCCAATGTTTGTACTGAGACATTTGACTGTACTTTTATAATTTAACATACTAATATAACATACATTACTGTTTAACAAACCATATTTATCACAACAAACAAAGGTTTCAGATGATGAACCCACGGCCCAAAATTTACAATAAATATAACAGTGTTATGTTTTAACATTACGTAACAAATTGGCTTTCTGTAATGTAGGCATACAGTAAAACACGTAGAACAGAAATGGAATCACTCACCACCATTTAGTGCTGAGGCTGAGGGCGTTTAATATTGTGTTACCCTTTCTCTTGAAATGCAAGGGTCCGAATAACTCAGACGTGCGTCCAACAACTCGATGCCGGCGACCCTCAGTTCCCGCCGGAGGTACGGCGTGGGAGGCCTGGTCAAGACTTCGGCTGCTCCTACAAAGACATTTCATTTAACCCGGCTTCTCTGATACGAGAGGGAGGTTGGGAGTCTATAACTCGCTCTGCGCATGCCCTATAATAAAAAAAAGGATTTATGCGTTAAACACGCGGTATCTGCAGTGACCTTCAGTGCGTTTTCTTCTCAGTTGGAGCTGGATTTTGTGGAGACAGTTGTATGCGGTTTTTGCTAAGAACAAGGGCAAAGCGTAGAAATAAATTTTGATTCCCTCCACTTGTAAGTCAAAAATTGTTGAAAGCCCAATTTCACGAGTTATATGTACAGCTTCACAGACATCTATCCACAGTTTCTCTTTAGTTTTTGTCATTCTACTCCGATGTGGCCGAACTGTACAGTGCCGGCCTCTTCTTCTCTTAAGTTACACCAAGTTCCGGCAAACAATGGTCTCCGTCCGGCTGTTTCGCCGCTCGTGCGAGCACACAGGTAGGGTTCTTCGTGATCTCCTGCCACCGCCAGCCGCTGTGCGGTCACCGCAACATATCGAAAATGAAGCTTGTTGCGGCAGAAAAACCTCAGCGGTGAAACTACCGCTCGTGCACTCCCTTCCTTCTGAAGCAGTGCGTTCCATCAATGCGGCAGAAAAACCGCTCGTGCGCAGCGATTAAATACGAAGACAATTTATGTCTACAGTGCTAAAACACGTAATATGATTTGGTTTTTGGAAAAATAGGTTTGGCTGTACGACAGGTTATCGTGAAGGCCAACAGGGAAACCTACACAGAATAAGAAAAATAATACACTCGACGTACACGTGCACTCCGAATGTAAGAACGCAATCCGCTCTTGTTTTATTAAGCACTCGTATGCACAGTTTAGAAAACTTCTTTTAAGAGAACACTCTGGAAGCGCTGAGGAAGGCAG